CCTACCCCTCCGTTTCGCGTGTTCACGTGAAGGGGTAGGGGTGTCTCGATTCTCTTTTGGTTGGAGGGGTAGGGGTAAGGGGAAGGGCCAGATAGCCCTTCAAACGAAGATTTTTTGGGACCACACTTCAAACTAAGGGGTATGAATTATCTCAGCGTAAACCGGCTTCAGCGGCAACATGGCTGGCCGAGGGAACAAAAAGACACAAATGTAAGCATTTTTTGGCATTAATAAAGATTTTAATGAAAAGTAATCATTTGTTTTGTTACATTCATTCGTGAGTTCATATTTACGGTCATGTTACTCAAAGAAATGTTTGCAAAAAATCACTAAAGTTTGCTAACATTTGTCATATCATTACAGACTGCACAATAGTGCCACAACATATTTTCATGTCTGATCAGGGCGATAACCACCATAGACATTGAGGAGGGCTAGTCCCCCCAATAATTATAAATCGCTAAACCCTTTTCTCAAATATTGCCAATTCGAGAGAGATGAAAGTTGCGTGTATGTGCGTCTGTGCGTTTCTCTTTTTGGAGTGAGTTTACTTCAAAAACAGCGATTTTATCCTCTTGTTGCTGGAAAATATAATTTAGTGATTTCAGTATTTAAACTCTTATTAATAAAAGTCGTGGGGCAGCGTTGACTAGTTTCTTTGCTCCTGGATGTGTGAGCTGCGTGATCTCTGATATATGTGTGTGTGTGTGTGTGTCAGTAAGCAGCGCATTACGGTAATATAGAATGGTAATTAAAAGCTCTAATGCACACCAACACCCAGTATAGGTGTGTGTATTGTAGGAGCCAGACGACTTATGGTGACGTGTGATGGCATAGTAGTGGTGTCCCAATATTTTCATATTTTCACCCCTACCCCTTGACACTCTGTTTCAAGGGACATGGGGAAGGGGTATGAATTGGGATTGGGCCTAAATTCTAATTAAACTGCAGCAACAAAAACTAAAACTTAAATTTTAGATTTTTTTTTTTATTGTATTGTAATTTTCGTTTAGTTTATGAAGATAACCTTCAATTAGTGGAATTGACTGCATGTGCAGCATTAGTCCGAGGTATTATTATTTTTTTTCTCTTTTCCCCCCCCTCTCTTTCAGGTTTATGTGGCTGCGTTCTCTATTTCAGGCTATGCCTGGGCCAGCTGGCGTAATCGTTACAAACCATTTAACCCTGTTCTAGGGGAAACGTATGAGAATGTGCAGGAGGATCATGGTTTCCGTTATATTGCAGAGCAGGTATGAGCACTTAATATATAAGACATACAATATGAAGGACTGTATTTGGAGTAATTGCATTTTAACATTTTTATTTATTTTTTTCTTTTTTTCTTTCTAGGTCAGTCATCACCCACCTCTGTCTGCCTGCCATGCCGAGTCTGATAACTTCAGCTTTTGGCAAGGTAACGGCTAAAATTTTGATTTATTCTTCATGTGGGATGTTACATTTAATATTTTATTCAAAACAGCAGAACAACCACCCAATAAAGCATTACAATAATCTTAACAGTATATTAACAGTATAACCTTGAAGTAATGGACACATGAATTAACGTTTCTGCATTTGACATTGAGAGCATAGGTCATAATTTAGATATATTTTTAAGATGGAAAAATGGGGTTTTACAAATGCTAGAAACGTGACTTTCAAAGTAAATATTGACATCAAATAGCACACCTAGGTTCCTAACTGATGATAAAGAATTGACAGCACAGCCTTCAAATGTGAGAGTGTTCTAGATTATTACATGCAGAGGTTTTTGGTCCAATAATTAACACCTCTGTTTTTTCATAATTTAACAGTAGGAAATTACTTGTCATCCAGTTTTTTTTATATCAACTATGCATTCTGTTATTTTTGCGAATTGATATATTTCATAGAGCCGCAAAGAAATATAGAGCTGAGTATCATCAGCATAGCAGTGAAAGCTAAACATCATGTTTCCTGATGATATCTTCCACGGGTAACATGTAAAGCATGAAAAGCAAGGGTCCTAGAACTGAGTCTTGTGGCGCTGTACTTGTGATCGATATGCTTAGGGCTGTGCAGAAAATCTAATGCGATTTTCATGCTCATCTATGGCTCTGTGTAGTAAATACTGCTCCATCTGAAAGCACGTGCTGAAGATTTACTACTAATCACAGAACTGGCTTTACTGATGAGATGAGCATGAAAATCGAATTAGATTTTTTGCTCAGCCCCTAGATATGCCATCTCGTCATTCACTGCTACGAATTGATGACGGTCAGATAAGTAAGATTTGAACCATGCCAATGCAATTCCACTAATGCCAACATAATTTTCTAGTCTATTAAAAAGAATGCTGTGGTCGATAGTGTCAATGCAACCAGATAAAAAGAGCAGTTCATTTGTAACTCTGATTAGAGCAGTCTCAGTACTATGATACAGTCTAAATCCTGGAAGTCCTCACAGGTACCATTTTTATCTAAGAAAGAACATAGCTGAGATGATACTGCCTTTTCTAGTATTTTTGACAGAAAAGGGAGATTTGAGATCTGACTAACTAATTCTCCGGTATAAAGCTGTGATTTTTTTTTTTTAATGGGGCTTAATAACAGCCAGTTCGAAGGTTTTTGGGACATATCCTAAAGACATTGATGAATTAATATTCAGAAGAGGATATATGACTTCTGGAAGCACCTCTTTTAGTAGCTTAGATGGTATAGGGTTTAACATGCATGTTGTTGGTTTAGATTATTTAATAATTTTATACAATTCTTCTTGTCCAATAGCAGAGAATGAGTGGAATTGTTCCTCAGAGGATCTATAGTGCTCTATCTGATGTGATAGTGTAGCTGATGGATGCATGGTTATAATTTTATCTCTAAAAGTATCGATCTAGGAAATAAAGAAGTTCATGAAGTCATTACTGCTGTGCTGTTGGAAAATGTCTGCACCTGCTGATGCTTTATTTTTTGTTAATTTAGCCACTGTATTGAATTAATACCTGGGGCTGTGTTAGTTTTCTTCTAAAAGAGATGAAAAGCAAGCAGATCTAGCAGTTTTTAAGGCTTTTCTTTAAGGGTATGTTCAGAGCTTTTGCCTTTTAAGCAAACCTCGAAGTGGATTAGGATCTGGACCTGAAAATTCAGCCAGCCCAATGCCTTCTGTCTTGTGTTCATTCATAGTAAGTTGTGTTTCCATATCTCCATCATATAGGGTGGAGTCATATGGGGTACTTGCCACCAGAACATCTGATAAGGCTTCCTCCTTTAAGCTCGCCCCTTAGCCAGACCAACACTCTGTGAGAGGGTCCTGCGCTGATGGCAGCTGGCTGTTATCACCTGGCATGAGCTGACAGATTGAAACAATTTGTGCAGGTGGTAGGGTCATCTTTAGCCTCTGATGCATGACCACTATGAACCCCTTGTCCAAATACCCACACTTGCGGTCTTGGCCACTTGAGAGCACATGTCAGGAAGTAAGTGTGCAAGACTGTCCCAGGTCTTAAAAAATTAAAAAAGCACACTAAATCCACAGTATCTCAAATACTGCTCCGGAGCATCATGTTGTGGAAATATGATTCCTCACGATTGTGTCTTTTTGCCGAGATCTCGCAAGAGATCACAGAAACCTTTCCAATGTATGTTAAATATTAATAATAATTAGGTATTGCATATAATTTGGTTGTAAAACAAAGAGTTGCACGTTTTATTGGTGCAAATGAGTAGTGATAATTATTTTGTACAACATTTGCAATGGCTTTTTAGCACTTAATTAGAAGCACCACAAAATTAAATTGTCATCTGTTATAGGGACTACTGAACAGACATTTAGAAGTTGATTTTAAAATGCAAAGTATTTAAAATAAAATAAAAAACACTGTAAACACTTGCATTTTTACTACTCTATAAGTGTGTCCCATCAGGTAATGAAAAGTTCTACACACACTTGTGGTCTTCATGCTCACTTGGACCAAATACAGGAAATACGTCATATAAGTAGTCAAGTGGTCAAGTGCAAAGACCGCAAGTGCAGGTATTTGGACATGGGGTGAGACGGGGCTCGCGGGTGTCATGAACAGCCTGTGGAGGCATGACTGACTGGTGGCCTTTAGATCTTTAAATACTGGTTATTCTGTGGGACTGGATGGATCGAGTTGTGCGCTCCGCTCAGTCGCTCCACTCGTATACCGTTCATGCTCATCGGAACAGCAAAGTCCACTCAAAAATTGAGCCGACAGGAAACATCGATGTAGTACAGTATTGTTTCTGTAAACAACTGTATATGACTGGTCCGTTTATAGCGACTGTCACAGGCTAGCGCCATGTTCTGTCATGAATAATTAAGCATAAATGACAGCATCATCTTACAAGGCCACATAGTCTCATGTATAATTGAAATGCCGACACATCAATGTACTAGTGTTTTGCAGCGTCACATCCACAGAGAATTTTTCAACCCAAAATAAATGTAAAATAATTATACAGTACATTCAACATTACATGTCATTTGACAGTACAATGTCATTTTAACATCGACGAGGAATGTTTTTGAGACACTGCAGATGAGCAAGTCCTTACTTTAAAATAAAGATACTTCCAAATGAAATCGCACACCTCATAAATTCATTAATTCACTCACTCACACACACACACATTTATTATATTTTTTTATTTGTTCATTCATTCGGTCATTCATTCAGTCCATCTACATTTTCAGACCAGAGATGGAAATATAAGTTCTGGGGGAAGTCGGTGGAAATCGTTTCAACCGGAATGGTTAATGTCACTCTGCCAAAGTGAGTATGGTTCAACTGAGCTCTCTACACAGCTGAGAATCAAATCATTTTATTTTAATTTAAAATAGTCAGTTATTGAGAGATGTTAAAAGTGTCTTTTAGATATTCATTTTCATTCAGTTTTGAGTTTTATATACAGATGTGGCCATTGAGAATGCACATCGAAGGGAAAGGATCTCACACATGGTCACAGTAGCATGCAGGGCCACTACGAATGCTCTGGTACAGGAAATACATGATCAGTAGGCGGCAGTCATGTCATGTACTAAAGCGGCAGAGCACATTAAACATGGGCGAGCAAGTTTGTGTACCGTGCGCATTCCAATAAAATATTCACTCTGTTATTAACAGTATTTTTACGTGTTTACAATGGGTATTTGATCACTGATAAATCAAATCACATTACTATAGCGCTTAGTTTTATAATATGCTCTGCTATACATTCCGGATCATCTAAAACGTGGGGTAGTGTGGTAAAAACAATGACCAGAAACCTACAAATTTTTATCTTGTCTTGTGCTCTATTTACTACCAAAACAATGAGAAAAATATTTTTTCTTCAAGCTTTTTCTTCTCTATAGAATATGAAAAACTGACAAACTGAATAGCCCATAATCTAAAAGCAGTGCATCAAGCATTATATTAAATGTAATGTAATAAAATGTACATTCAGTTTAATTTAAAGGGGTCATGAATTGAGAAATAAAATTTTCCTTGATGTTTTGACACGTAAGAGGTCATTGTACAGTCATGGCCAAAAGTTTTGGCAGTGACAAATTTTGTGTTTTGCAAAGTTTGCTGCTTAAGCTGTTGTGGTGTTCATTCACATTGTTTCTAGAATGATTGTGTAGAATGATCAGATGCATTTTAAATAATTGCTAAAAGCTTCATCGGCCAAAAAAATTTTCACTTTTCACAAAAAAAAAAAAAAAACTTTTTTATTTTTTATCCTGACACAAAATGACCAGCTGACATTAATTGACATCAGCAGCACGTGAAAGTGTGACTGAGTACTAGTCAGGTTAAATCACTATTATACTAGTTAGATTGTAAGAGCAGACTGATTGCTATAAAAGGAGGGAAGAAGCGCTTCCAATCATTGTGCTTGTTAGAAATGGTTACCTCCAAAGAAACACGTGCAGCCATCATCGCTTTGCATCAAAATGGCCTCACATGCAAGGAAATTGCTACAAAGAATATTGCACCTGAAAGAACCATTTACCGGATCATCAAGAACTTCAAAGAGA